AGCACAAGAGTCTGGCTAACGATAGTGAGGAGCAGCAGCCACAGTCCATCAGCAGCTCCAACAAGCAGGGCTGGACCACTGCATTCTACTAAAATTTCAGCAAGATATAATCTCTCTGTCCCTCAAAAGAAAAAGATGCTAACAATGGCTTAAACTTTAAATGAGCAAATTGATGCTGCAGTCAAAATCTAGGCTTGAGAGGAACAAAAAAAAAGCAAGGAAAAAAAAGCCTACAAAGTAATCCAGAATCTTGCTTCTAAGTGAGAAGCCATCAGATTTAGCCATTTTTGGCCCTTCTAAACAGGGAAGGCAGGAGCTGGCGTAAGACAGTATTTTGCTGTTTGGTGGCATTTGGGCAGGCCTGAAATCTGAGTTCTCACCAGAGGTTTGGGCTCCAGCAACACTCTTCTCCCGGGGCCTGAAGGACACATATCAGGGAGTTCTGCATGTTAGCGAGCTGGATGCTGCTTTCAGGTTTTGGAGGTATCGCTGCATTTTTGGTTTCTCGGTGCAGCGCAGTTGCTCCAATCGCAAGCGCTGCAATAGTCTCCAGGGGACTCTGCAAGCACCAAAGCAGCGATAGGCAGCTGGGCAGCACAGGCTTTGCCATGCCCTCCCCAGTACGTTTGCACAGAAATACCTGGCCGATCCCTTCCGTGTCGATGCTGTGGGAGTATGGAGAGGGCTACAGTAGAGAGCCGTGCGAGCACATTATCTGCCGTGGCTCACTTCCTTTGTGGTCATTGTGTGAGGCTAGCGCAGTTAAGCTAACACTGCTATTTCACAGGCTTTCCATGCTAAAAATAAGACTGGCACGTTCTGCTCCCAACCCCGTAGTTCCGTTTTGGTCAAGATCTGCTGTTGCAACATCACGTCGCCCCGTGAGAAAGCCAGGAAAAAAACCACACGGGGCAGAAGCACTGCAGAACCCAAATGCCGCAGGGTAGTGCAGTGTCCTGTGTCCCCTTCACACGTGCAGAGGGGGTACCGGTACCTCTCTCACCTTGCCAGAGGCCGTGTCCCACTGTGATGTGCCAGCAGCTGCAGACAGCAGGGCACAGTCTCTGGCAGGCAGAGGAGATCAAGATCTTCCCTGGCAGGGAAAGGAAGCAGGAGTCTATCAAACCTGAGCTGTCCTATCTATTAGCAATCTGTACCAGGAACACAGGAAAACCTCATGAGAAGGGCTTTCTTTGGCTGGGAAACAACCTCAGGCAGAGTTCACAAGTGAAGGAAAAACGATTGTGCAGAACAAATAAGTTTTAGAGATCAAGAAGTGTAAAGATCAAATGGGTCTTAGCAAATTCTTCCCTTATGTATGAAAAGCTACCTCTATAAAAATTACAGGCAAAGAAGTGAGATCACCCAGTGCTGCTGCTGATAAAACCAAAAAAATTGTCCAGGTATGTCCTGAAAACTACCTGATTACTTTGTCACAGCTTTCAGTAAGGATGAGGAACCTGAGAAGTCCAGAATTTTAAAGTAATTGGCACATGAAATCTCACACCAGCAACAAGGCTTTTAAATGTCAGCCAAAATAGGATCAGGGGGCAGAGACCACCAAACACAGTCCCATCTCTAGGATGGGAGAAGGAAGGGAAGGGTCTCGCCAGTAACAGCTCTACTATGCCCAGACCTGAAAAATGTGCAGTTTCACAACATGTCTGAATAACATTAAATGGGAGGGAACACACATAAAGGCAAAAGTTAAGCGGTGCTTCACCTTACAGGAATATTTTGCCTCACTGACTTCTTTCACTGAGAAAAATCACTTTTCCAGCCAAGGTATGGTAGACATTGGTGTCAGTAAAAGGTCCTTTGGACCACATTGCAAGTGGTAATGCACTTTATACAGGCACAGGTACTCAGAGGTGCTGTAGGCTCCTGGACTACCCTGCTGGAGAGCTGTCAGCAAGGAAGTGAGAAAAGAGCATGAATGTCACCTGCACTGTGCCACATGGTGACAGCACTCACGGGGCTGAGACAGGCTGAGAACTGCAGAGGCAGGGGAAAATACCAAGTGAGCATCATTGGTCCATGGCAGAGGTGATAAAACCTGCGACTGGATGGAAGAAGGGGGTCATACGCAGCTGCAAGAGCCTAGAGGGTGGTTGATGGGGAGCAGAGGTGGAGAGAAGCATGAGGATCCTGATCCAGCGGTGTCCAGGAATCAGACAGGGACCCAAGAGCCACACCAGGAGGCATGTAAGTTCTCTGCAGATAACACTTCATTGTAGCTTTGCCTACTGGTAGCTGGTGTTGAGTTGCTCTGACATATCCTGGTGAACCTGCTGATCACAGCCAGCTGCTTTGTGCCTGATGACACAGTTTGTCCGTCCCTTGAAGCCTCATCGGGCTGATGGGAGACATAGCTGCCCTCGTCTGGTGACCACAGCACCAAGCTGTGGATGGGAAGCATCACACTGGAGACATGCTATGAGCTCAGCTTCCTCCAGACTTGGTTTTGATTGCTCATGGTTAATACTGGTAGTGATTGCCTTGATACAGACAATAGGAGTGTGTGGACAACACTTGAGGATGATGCAAAGTGAAGTGTTTCCTGTACCGTGGTGAAACTATCACAACCCATCAGCTGGATGACTTTGAAAACTGAAGCACTAACAAGGACCATGACATGAAGATGATGGTAGTTGGGGATCAACAAGCTGGGTGTACTAATAGGTCAGTAACTACTTGTAAGCGCCCACCAAGAAGCAGGCACAAGAAAGGCAAAAGCAGTTCCTGGAAACTCAGGAGAAGTATTTAAGCTAAGCTCTATACTGACTATACACTGGCAAGAAATTACTCTCAAAGGCTGGTTTGTAATGCGCAGACAGACAGTGCAGAAATACTCCTGAAGCTGTTTTAAGATGACCTGGAAAGTGGGAAGGGTAAATGTGTTTGCCCAAGGCAGCAATTCAAGGTACTAACAGCAGGACCTTTGAGTTTCTTGATCGACTTTCAACTTGGAAATAGGTTGCAATGGACCGCCAAGGAGGACCCCCTGGCCAGCAGACACTTGCAACCGCAGAGCAGTCACAAAGTCAGCAGGTCACAGGGTCACAGTGCCACGTTTTCTCAGAACTGCTGGCTGATGAGAACTGTGGAAGACAAGAGGATTACTGTGATTCAGAGTGAAACCCAGTTATAATAATCACAAAACCGTCTGAACCACAGCCCTCACCTCTCCAACAGCTCTGTGAATGGGACTGGGGGCCTGCCAGGGCTGTTCTGTCCTGGGGCGCAGCAGTGCAACAGCAGGTGGCAGCCCTAGCTCCAGCCCCAGCAGGAGTGGCAGTCTAGAAGGCAGAGAGAAGACCTCAGGACCCTCCAGAGCAACAGGTCCCCTCCAAGCAATGTGCACAGCCTGTTGGGCGAGGAAGGTCAATGGGCATTGATTGCCCAGAGAGACATCAGGCACTAGAAAGTAAATCAAAGGAAAAACCCAAAGGCATTCCATCACCAGAGGAACTACTGCAGGGCCACAGAGCAGACGAGTGTTTCACCTTGCTGCAGGGCTATTGCAGGCTCCTCAGTCAACAGGGGGTGGTACGAGCTATGCCAGTGGTGACAGAAGCAGCTCAACCCTGGGGAAATGCGTTGAGGAGGCGCGGGGGGTGCTTCCTCCACCAGCGTTGCTGTCACAGCCACCGGCAAATGGGTATCGCAGGACACCTTGCTGGTCACATGCCAGAAGCACTGCTAGGAGGGCTCATCGTGCCTGCACGCCGCACTGCAGCTGGTCTGAAGGAACATCCACTCTCTCCAAGGACAGCGAGCGAACAGGTAATTCCTCCTGGCTATTTGCTGACCTGGTTATTTGAGCTCTGCAAGGCACTGCCTTTCCCCAGCCATGGTGGGACACCAAAATGGTGGCGGAGAAACTGAGAGAGGGCTGGAGCCTCTGTATTTTCAAAGGCTCATTTTGATACTGGCCACATTAGACACGGTTTGGATGCTTGAGGGCTGTCTCAGCCTTTGCGAGATCTCCCTGTTGTCTGTTACGATCTACCCTTACGTGTTCTGGGCTTATAACACATTCCTCATGTCCAAAGCACAGAGCTGCTGCAGTTATCAGCTGCAGCACATTCCTCACCTCCAAAGAGGTCTCCTGGCATGATTCCTCAGCAGCACGATTTTCAAAGCTAGCTGAGAGTTGCAGATGCACATAGATGCTGCAGCACTGCCCTATGATTTGCTCGCTCAGGATGCTTTTGAGCCGTGGGAACCTGCGCCCATGGAGCCATATTCCCCTTGCAGGGAAAATCCAAAGACATCTCAGACCTTCCAGGTCTTTTCTGTCTGTGAACAGCTGCACCTGGAATATACTCCTGCATTAACTCCTCAAAGCAGGAGGGCAAACAGCAATATAGCTCTTAGATCCAGGGTGGTAAAACCACGCACTAGACCAGATACAGCTCACCTCTCTATTTCACATGGCTACTGATCACATTTCTTGCCATGGCATTGGTGGGGTTTTTTTGTCTTGGAATTGTGGCAGATTGGTCTAATACTTCTGAGACAAAGACCAACTTTCACAATCCTTGAAAGGCACCATGCAGACCCCAGTACTCCGATTCTTGCTGCAGACCACTTAGTACAGGATTCAATGGCACCTAAAACTAATGAGAGATGTACTAATAATTGCTCTATCACTAATGAAAAGTGGTGCAGGGACAGCTCAGGACTGAAGGAGAGGACAGCTGTCCTTTTGCTGCACATCTCCCAGAGCATTTTGAGCTGTGAGGATGCTGGCTGACTTCTGAGCACCGCTACAAGGGAAGGGATGAGAGCTGGGTTTAGGCATCCCCTTTCCATTGTCAGATGGTTGTAACAGCTCACATAACTCCTAGCTGCAGGATACCTGCTGCTGCCTGATCTGAGTCTGGCCCAAAACAGAGGCCCAAGCATTTTCCCCTGCTGCCCTCCGTGAGCATTCTTCCCCATATGGAACTTGGTGAGAACCTGTGCTTTTCTCTCCTCCACAACTGATCGGGCTCATGTCCCGCTCCTTCCCCTTCCTGCTAGGTACCCTACAGCCAGCTCTGCTCTGTGAAGTTATCTCCATGGTCTAGCTTTCACTGTTGGTAAAGCCCTGAACTATCTGAATTAATCACTGATTCAATTGAGTCTAGCTTCTAAAAGGTTTAATCTGCTTTTGCAGGAACTGTGCCTCTTAATACCCACAAAATGAACCACAGCAACTGCAGTGTCACAGCCTATGAAAACTTCCCGCTTATCCAGCTGTGTGTTTACATCCCAGTTTTACTTTTGGGCATTTTGCTGAATGTGTTGGCGCTGTGGGTGTTCTGCTGCAAACTTGGCAAATGGACAGAAACCAGAGTATACATGGTCAACTTGGCTGTGGCTGACTGCTTGCTGCTCTTTACTTTGCCTTTTAAAACTTTATCCCAGTTCCATCAGCTGAAGGTAGATAGATGGTGCCTGGTTCTGGAAGCTGGCTATTTCATAAACCGCTTAATGAGCATCGGTATCATCACTGTCGTAGCAGCTGATAGGTTCCTTGCAATCAAGTACCCTTTGAAAGCCAAGGTGCTGAGGTCACCGCTGAAGGCATCTTTTGCCTCTGGATTTCTTTGGATAGTCGTCAGCTGTGTGATGTCCCTCATTAAAAAGTTAGAGGACCGAGGACCAGAAGAACTTTGCTTTGAAAAATCTTCTCTTAAGCCCTCAGTGATCACACTGTGTGCTATTATTGTAGGGTTTTTCATACCACTGATCATCTTGAGTTATTGCTCCATACAAGTCATTGCAGAACTCATGAGAAAGAAGAATGAAAACTGTCACAAGGAAAAGTTAATCAGGAAGGCGGTCTACATCGTGTCTGCAAACATGGCTGTATTCATCATATGCTTTTTACCTCTTTACCTCGGGCATCTCCTTCGCTTTATAATGGACTCCATCAGCTCCGACTGCTCTGCAATACAGAGGGTTAGTAATTTTGTTCACCTCGCCTCGGTCCTCGCAAACACAAACTGCTGCCTGGATGCTATTTGTTACTACTTTGTCAACAACGAATTTAAGGAAGCATCTTCCAAGCTAGCAAAGTCCAAACCTGAAGCCACTGAAGAAACTGAAATTCAGCTCCTATGCATAACACATTAGTGCAAAACACTATATACTTTATACTTGCTATGTTCAAGTTCAACTGGGACTCATTAGCAGGCTTTTACACTTTCTTTTTGTGTGAGTGGGACAAAGGGACTTTCTGCTAATGGGAAGGATTGAGACACATGAAAATTAGCCCTGATTCAGACAACCACAGCAGTCCAGATCCTGATGTAATAATCTAGATTGCCACTGATAGTTCTCTGCCTTATGCAAATTTGAGTAAAATTATGGCTTTCCCCTGCAGAAATTGTCTTTCATTTTCCCAGAAAGCCCAAAACAAGTACAGCCAGTGGTAAAGGAGATTTTTGTCCCTCCTCTCCACCTTGAATCAGTTTTTATGCAGCTGTAGCTGTGACAAAGAAACAGAGGTTATTCCAAATATCAAAAAAGAAAAAAAAAAGTCAAAGTGAAACCACTGCAGAAAAAGAAAGGAGAATGTTTGAGTAAGTCACAAACTTCTTGTTTTTTAGTTGGTAATAATGCACAATCACAGCAGCAGAGGCAGATTTAGCCTGCTTTAGACAAGTTTACAGCACCATTCATACTACATAACAGCTACAAAATGGTCATCAATTGCAATACAAGGTCAGAAGAAATTACAATTGCTTGTACAGGGGAAAAACTTTACATCAAAAGCATTTGAGTCAAATGGCATTAAAGCTATATGCAAAGAGTTGGGGTGGGGTGGTGGGAGTAAGGACTCCGTATTAGACGTCTATTCAACCTTATAATGTAAAGAACTGTCTAAAAGAAGTAGCAGCAAGTTGTTCCAAAGTATCCAATATAAATAAAGTCGTGTTACTGGCACAGAGTATAGCCTCTTAATGAGTTAAATGGAAAAGGTGGGGGATTAGGTGGTACAGGATCCACTCTGCTGTCTGTCCCCTAAAGGGGCAGCTCATCTCTTTGGCTGTCCAAGCGAGGGGCAGGGGGTACGAGCTGCAACAGAGACTGGGATTTTCAAAGGCAGAACACTGCATGCCACTGCGATGCACTTACCCACAAACAACTAAGTAGGTAAAACCGCTAACCAGCCCCTTTGTAATGATGTTCAGACAGCACCCACGTGCCCCAGGATAGGACACACCAGGCATATACTTCCACCCACGTTTCTGGACCCTGGGCTGGGCTTTCATCTGTCTGCACATGCTGAGCCAAACCCTGCTCCCACCTCAGCGGCCTTACAGCCCCACTTCCAGCTTGGCTTTTGCATCTCCTCCTACTCAAGGCACATGCCAAAAGGAAGAAACCCCTTAAAGAGAGACCGTGTTGCGGGCAACTTGAGCAGAGCCCTCCATCCACCTGCCCAGCAAAGCCCACGCCACCTGCACAGGACAGTAGCAAAGCCCTGACAGCTTCTCAAGGGGATGTAGGCTTCTCACCGTGCTTGCCAGAGATTCAGGTAGAAATGGGGAAATCTGCTCAGTCATCACCAAAATCTGAGAGCAGTATCTGGCCTTCGTTCACTGCACAATGGGGAGGGGGAGTAGGAGAGGCTCTAGTTGCAAAGATGACCTTTTAAAGAGGTTGACTTCTCCCCTCTTCTACCCCTACATTTTCTTTGAAAAGATCAAAGCAGCAACAAATGGTGCTGTGAATGCAGAGATGGGCATCTCCTCCCAGCTCAGCTCCAGGTGCAGCATGGCCCTGGCAGTGATTTCACACTGCTCAGCCTGGCACAGCTGGGCTCACACTTTGCCTTGCCTGGCCCTGTGTGCTGATAGGTCTCCCGCATCACTGGAGTAACATATGCACCTTTGTGACTTTAATTTGATGGACTGCTCCCAAATAAGGCTAAATATACCTTTAAGATTTCCTCCCCGGTATGGGATTTGTGTGCTGAGTGCACAGTGATTTGAGAGATTACCTGATTGCCAATGTGTTTTTTTTACACCTCCAGTTTCACCAACATGGGTGATAGCTCTTCAGAACGGAAAGCTCTGCACGAAACAAACTGCTATTTTAGATGCACAGGAAAAAATATTTCTCCTCCGGTAACCGCTAATTAAATGGGTGGAGGAGATACAAAGCTGCCTACAAACAAAGCATTTCTGAGCTGATTCTGCAAGGCCATCTTGCTCAAAGTAACGCCTCTTCCTCCAGCAGCCATTCGCCCAGAAATACATACAATGAACACTTGCCAAAGATGGCCAAGCTTCCTCACCACAGAAACCTCACACCAAAGCCTCTACAGCACCAAGTCCTGAGGTGCTTACTGGGGTTTGCAGAGGGAGGGAGCCGCAGAGGGGCTGTGGAGGAGACAGTCAGGTTGTGCCCGTGCAGGGATGGTCCTCACTGCCACAGCTGGCCTCCCCAGCAGCTCAGAGCAGGACCACAGCTGCTCCTAATGACTGCCCAGGAGCAGCTGCTTAATGAGGGTAAAGAGGCAGGAAAGCATGTTTCATTCTCAGAAAAGAGGTGTGATAAACTATCCCTTTGACATAGGACCAAAACGTCTGTTCTTCACCATTTGAGCAGGGTCTATCCAAGTACAGGGCAGTCAGGGATTCGGATGTGCTGGGGCTGAAATATGTGGCACAAGGATCAAGAAGCACCCTCAGGCTCCCCAGCGATAAAACTGGATTATGCTGTTCTGTTTACTCACTTGTTTTTGCTTTTTCCACCTGGAGCTTTTGGGCTGATTTAGTAGAAGGAGTGTCCTCTAAATTCATAACCCATCTGGCCAGCTCTCCCACATCATACAGAGAAGAGCTAAGGGATGAATTAAGCAGTGAGGAGGCAGCAGCAATCTAGAGTAGTAGACATTTCTGGTGGGCTCAGCAACCTCCGGGAGAGAAGAGGGATCTGAGCACTTGCCAACAAGATACAGATTCTTCCACCACTGCCTGGAAGGCAGACAGCCCCCAGCCCATGCACAGACAGACCGTAAGCATGCAGGTGGAGCAGGCCTTGCCTGGCTTGCTTTGATCTTGTTGCAAAAACCTAGCTATCTCATCACATCCACCAAGCTTTCAAATATGTGCAACTTAACCTTCTTAGCATAGGACAAGCTCTGTCTTTCAGATTTCCCAAATTTCTCTGGAGCCAAGTCTGGACAACATCAAGCTCATGCTTTCCAAGTGATGAGGAGGGCTGGAAACTACACCTCCCAGGCTGTCCGAGGCAGGTATCTCCCACCCTGCAGGACTGCACCCTGCCCTCATCAGGCCGTACTGCCCTCCCAGCAGCTGCAGGACACAGGTAGGCACAAACATCTTGCACTGGCATCTCCTACATTATATTAATTCTAATTCTATGACCTGATGAGAGAGCTGGACACAGCCAGTTTGATGCCCTTCACAGGCACTGAATGGGCTTGTTACAAAAAAACAGATCACCTGAAAGCACGAGTGGAGCTGCTGCAGCTGCTGCACCACTGGAGGTGGCTGCACAGGCAGGACACACACACACACAGACTGTAGGAACACATTCGAACCGCCCTCTAACTTTCATGCCGTTGCTCACAGAGGTCTGGTAATGTCTCACACTAGTTTTCTTGCTTGGGGCTTTCCATTTGCTGTTGCTGTCACATTTTAACTGAACTCTGCTGCCAAGTACTGAACCAGGGCAGCTGACCAAAAATGAGAGTTCAGCTGAATGTCAGGTGTGGGGGGAAAGTGTGAAAGCTGTCACAAAAAAACTGCGATATACTTCAAAGATGCTTTCATCAAAGACAGAAAAAGGCAGCACTTGTGGGAAAGTGAAAATCAGGGTGGGCCATTATCATTAGCTTGAGATAGAAGCATCCCTATGTCTCTCAGTTTCTGAATGAAGGCTCAGAATCGTCACTGAGTCACTCCAACAGGATGGGCTGTCCTGTGTGGGCTCTGCATGCACCAGCTGGGGACAGTCTGACACCATGCAGTCCTCATCCTCAGAGGTGCTAAAAGGCTGCAGCATCTGCAATCCTGTCCATCAGAAACTCTGGCAGCAGTCTGCTGGCAACTTTACTAACTTCAAAATTCCCATTTCACTTCTGCCTGCTGCCATTTTTCTACAAAGGTGAACACTGCATACTTCTGCCTTTTCTGGCCCTTGGTTTTCAGGCCAGGCTCCCTGCTTTGGTTTGGTAAAAAATTGACACGGATATTTCAAGCCTGACTTCTATCAGCCTCAAAATTGCAACAGCAAGTCTGTAGGTCTCTTGCCCTTGGTGGGTGCCACAGCCTGCAGTCACTTGTTTAACACTTGCCCTATTCCGCTGTATAAAAACAGGCTCCAGAAACATCACGTTTCCACCAAAAGTCATGTTGCACCGACCAGGTCCAGCTGGTCCTTCCTACCACCGAAGGACCAGCTTTTCTCAGTGCCCCAGCAGAGAGACTCTGCATCATGTCTCCACCACAGAGATACCACATTTCAGAAGGGTAGGACACCATCACACACACCCCACGTGGGTCACACAGCTTCTCTGCTTTGCT